CGTTGGCTCATGGAGAAAGATCGACATGAAGATGCCATGGCCTCGCTCAACAAGCTCCGAAGGGGCCATGACGCTGAGACAATCGATCTAGAGTTCCGCGAAATCCGTGATGTCATCATCGCAGACCGCGCTCTGGGCAATATCAGTTGGCTCTCGATCATTACGAAAACCTCCTGGCGCAAGCGTCTCTTGCTGGGTTGTGGTGTGCAAGCATTTGGTCCGCTTTCCGGTATCAACGTTATCAACTACTACGGCCCGCGCATCTACGAGATCCTGGGGATATCGACACAAGAGTCGCTCATGATCATTGGTATCAGCGGTGCTCTGTCGATCGTGTGGTGTACCATCGGACTGGCGCTAGTCGACAAGTTTGGACGTATCAAGCCCCTTCTCATATCGGCAGCGGGCCTGGCGGCTGCTCTTCTCGTCAACGCAGTACAAGGGCAATACTTCGACCCCAACAATGGTGCGCAGCTGCGCAGTATGGTGGCCATGAACTTTCTCTTCTCCTTCTTTTACACACCTCTTGGTATCATCTCGTGGGTTTACCCTGCAGAGATTTTCCCCATTGAATGCCGCGCCCTTGGCAACGCCATCACGACTTTTACAAACTGGGTTGTGAATCTCATCTTCGCCCAGTTCTCTCCCCAAGCACTCAGCACGATTGAGTTCAAGTACTTTTACGTCTTCTTCTGCTTCAACATTGTTGCTTTCTTGTGCTATTGGTTCTTCTATCCAGAGACCAAAGGCAAGACCTTGGAGCAGATGGACGAGCTGTTTGGCGATCAATTGGTACCGCATGCATTGCAAGATCCGGCAGCGGCATCGGCGGCTATGGAAAAGGACGAGAAGCTTCATGCGGAGATTGCAGTCGTCTGATTGCGGTTCGGTGCGGCCGGTGCATGCTTTGGGTAGAAGGGGTTTCAGAGGGAAGCTGCAGGAGGCGTTGTTGGAAGGTGAATATGTGATACGTACGCGGCGTCTATAGCGACTTATTACCAGATATACGATCTATAACCTTCCGAAATTGCCATTGCGATGTGTACAGACGGAATGTATGAGCTAGTGCCTCATGAAAGGAACAATAACAATCGGGTTGGCGCAGGCAGGATGTCGATTCCGGACGGCGGAAAGCAGCCGGAACGAGCTAGTGCGTAAAAGGAAAGGCGCTGCGCGTCATCGATTTCAGGAGGTCCACGTGCCAGGGGACTGATCTAATCCAGGGATGGACCTTCCCCAGCCCCCAACGAAACTCACACTCTGCATTCAATCGTCGCTATGCGGGGCTTCTTACTCTCCTCCAACAGCTCGAGGTGTGTTTCCATGTCGCCGCGCAACACCGGTTACTCTTCGCCATCCTAGTCATTTGAGCGTTTATCAAATAGATCAGTACCATGGCGAAATCACGACATGGGCTGTTGAGAACTACACGATATGAAGGCTCATTACACATGAGCAGAAGAGAGACCTCAAGTCGAATTTGCTCCTTGAAAGAGTTATTCCTAGAAGCTAAGGTTGTCGTCACAGCACGCACTAAACGCTTGGATACTGCGAGCGTTCCTACGGAAAGACACTGGTCTGCAAACACTCGCTGTCTCAGCGGAGGTCTAATATGTCCTTCAAGGGTATGGAAGAATCTCCATCTTTAAGGAAAACGTGAAGCGTACCTTGTCCCAGGAGACGCACACGATGGAAGCTCTTTTCACCCAGGTATCCTGCGTGTGCACAACGCTGCATCGAATGACGAGCTTTTTGGAACTTGCACTCTTCACAGTATGGTCTCTCGCGTTCCCAATTCGAAGTACGGATCTTCTTTCCATTTTATTGTCTTCGACACCTCCGGATTAACCACGTCATCAAAGGTCCTGATTAACTTGTGACTCATGGCAGCAGTGTCGAGAATACTCCGCGAGACGCGGACTAGCATTGCATTGCAAGTTCGCGTGAGCTTTTTGACGCAGCTCTAGGCACCCGTGGGGTTCAGTCTAGTATGAGTAACACGGACCTTGTAGGGCTTCTCCCCCGCACTCGAGACTTGGGGTGCGACCCGAAAGTGGAAACGAAGGGATTTCTGTGTGGCGACTCTCGCCGTTTCCAGCTCAATGAAGGCGTCTTTCGCACTTGGCTTAGACTCTTCGTTCCTTATATAAACCCTCTTTCTCTCTCGTGTTGTAAGTCAAGCTGATAACGTAAAGTCAACAGCGTTTCCGACTCGCCAGAAACCTGTCGCACACCCCGATACTAAGCCTGACTGTTCGCTGTTATCCTTACACCTCTTCCCGGAAGCCATAAGGAAATCTCTTCAACGGTTATTAGGCCCAGAAGCCTCCTTCTCAGCTCGTACCCTCCAGCCCATCCTTGACGGCGAAACTACAACGTCATTGCTACTGGCGATATCTTATCTCGAACCCCAAACCAGACGCCCCTCCACCAAATTTCTGCAGATTACAGCAAATCAAATTCGTCCGTATCACTGCGCATACGCGTTCCAGCCTCGATGTCTCCTTCCAGCACACCAGGACGACTTCCAGAGATAGCCAGCAGTTCTGGCTCCGAGCCAGTCAGACCAATACGTCGGAAGCCTCTGCATGCAACCAGCTCCGACTACAACAAACGTCAGAATGGAGATTTCGACAATCGCCACTCTGATCGCCCACCGGGCGCCGGCGATGTGTCTCTCGATCACCTCATATATCCTGACGAGGACGTGGGCTATAGGCCAGTTCTTCGTTCGCATCGCATAGCTCATCAAGTTCGACAAGACACTTGCTTCATACGAAAGGACGGAGACTCGCAATCGGATGAGGAATTTACACCTTTGTCCAAGGAAACTTCTTTACCTGACATGGACTCTGTCAATCACTTCGAGACTATCCCTGCAGGTCCTGGTGTAATCGCTGCACTCCGAAAGCACATTTCGGCCGCTCTCCTTGCAAAGCTTCCCGGTTTGAGCGACATCGATTTCTCAAGACATAGCAAGCCATCGTCTATAGCAAATCTGCGCTTGCTACTTGGAACCTACACTGAAAGGTCTCTAAAGAAGTGGGGCAACCCTGTGTATGCGTACCTCAGTCCGAATGCGAATTCCTCAATCGGCCCCAAGTTCATCATGGAGGTCGATGAAAGACACGGACATGGAGTACATGGAGGACATAACGTTGTGGAAGTCACATGGTATGAGGCCATATTTGAGCAGAGGGTCGCAACCAAACTTCCCTTCAAACAAGCTGCAACGAAAGACGAACTGTATGCCGTGGTTAAGTACTACTTCCTGTTGGCGGTGGAGGCGGGAGTGGAGAACTTTCACCATGACTTCATCCCATTGAACAGGTCCTTCGTCCAGCACCTGACCAGCTTATGCCTACATTATGTACCAGATCTTCGGACACCGACGCATTCCACTGAGGGATATACATACCACGAGGAGCCGCCTCCACGATATCCCACCAAGTTTGATCGACGGCGTCCCCCAGGTTATGAGAAAGAGCTGGGTGTAGCAAAGGTCCAGCAGTTTCCGCAGGTCAGCATCGATGCGTCCGAATCTAACCCTGGCAAGAGCGACAATAGCAATGCAGACGATGAGTCTTCCAGTCTGCTGCGGTTGAGACACAAGAATCAAGCTTCTCGAATGTCAGGCTTCGCAGCCGAGACATCTTTGCATATTTCAGCTCAACGAGGGCGCAAACCTATCACTGCCTTCTTCCGCAACGATCGATCAGCCCTATCACGTCCCCGTAGTCCGCACGAAGAAGTTTCAGTTCGCAGCTCGACTCCTCCGCGCAATGCCATCTCCTCGTGGTTGAAAACAATGACTGAAGAGCTAAAACTGCATCCGAATGCTCTACCTACCAAGGCACGATCAGGAAAAAGGCGGGAGTTGAAGACCAACGAATCCATATCGGATGAAATCGACTGGCCGCTGCGAGGATCGTCGCCGCAAAGCTCGGTGTACTCTGTTTACAAAAACATGGACCATTTTTCGAACCGCGACCAGGGCAGCTTGTTTAGTGGTACAGACAACTCCATTTACTCGTTCTCGGATCAATACGCCTCAAAGCCCGATGAAGAGTGCGCGAGCTTGACGCACCTCGCGATGACAGAGCCACTCCCTGATAACCATCGGCACGATGTAGAGTGGAGAGCGTTCCGTACTGCGACTGCTTCTCTTCCGGGTGTAGACAAAGATCGTCGTGAGCGCCGCACATCGAGGAAAGCAGAGCGGTCTCGTAACCCAATCGCCAGCCGCCGCTCCAGCTCGACTTTCGATCGGATCGTGTCGCCTTCCCTGCTTCAGCGTCAAAAGAAGGTTATCGATTCTCGCATCGAAAAGACACTTAATGACATCGGTGATCACTATATCCAACTGAAGAAACTTCGACAGCTTCAAACAAGTGTGAAGGCGGAGATGGTAGAAGCGAAGCGCCGTGAAGAGAAGGAGAACCGGTTTGAAGACGAGGAGATGATGCGCTGGAAGGACGAGGAGAATGGTGCTAACGATAGCAACAAGTCGAGGGTTTTGAGATTGTTGTAGTGACAACTGTATTCGTATGGGAAGAGGAGTCTTTGAGTCGATTTGAAGGAGGATGACTGGGCTTGCACAAGACGTTGCTTGTCAGGGTGGCGAGAGAGCAGGTGCTGTGGGCATGGTCTTTGGCTTCTTGGACATCACGCTGTATTTAATTTGATATGAGGTGTGTAACAAGATACTAGCAGTGTAACACGTGTTTCGTACCAATTTCCCGTTGTCCTTATCTCGTCTTCACCGCGTCTTTGCACCTTAGCGCGTCTGAGTCGAGCGTTTGCTACCTAGATAGGCAGTCCACGTCACGTAAACAGAACGCGTCCATCAAAACAACGACCGTGACTAACTCTTGTTGCAGTATACACGTACTTCCGCCTACGACCCACACAATTGCCACACCGGTTGTAGTCCCCTGGCTCTACAGACCCAAACCGATCTCGTCAAAGACGACACCTCGTATTCGGTGACCACGCCAAAGATGTCTGTCGCTAAGATCAACCTAACCCTGCTCTACACGGTAATCGGGGCTAGCTTGCTCGACCACGCGCCTTACGACCAAATAGTCACATCCCCACAGTGTTATGATCCACGCGCCATCTCCTTCAAGATTCTGTTCGGCTATATTATCGACAAGCGCAGCAAGAAGCAACAAGACGTCTGGGTGCTTCTTTACCCACCGACCAAGGAAGGACGGCATGCTGAAGTTCAGTTCCACTCCATCCATCCCGATACGGGTGCTTTTGTAAAGCATGACGATAGCAACATCAGCACCACGGTCTCCGCACTCGTCGTCGCATTCTGCAACCCCAAGAAGGCAGCGAGAGGAAAGCACGTAGCGCTGGCGAAGTACTACTACCTGGAGGCCCTTGTTGCAAGGGAGGCCAAGACAGGAAGCACCGAGTTGGAGATAACCATACCGGTCAACCGGACTCTAATCGACAGTATGAGGGTTGTTTGTAACGAGTTCAAAGAGGAAGCGAACGAGATGTCGGCACACATGCGCTCACCATCAGTGACACTTGTGGAGGACGATGACAGTGTCCTCAGCGATTTCCCAGAAGACCTCTCCGAGCCTACTCAGCAGCCCGTAGAACCGAGCTCGACGATCACACCCGAGACCTCTCCCGCTCCAGTAAGTAGGCCGGTCCTTTTCGTTCGTGGCCAAAACTAACTTCATCAGACTCTCAATGACAACTTCCAGCAACTCGATGCCCTTCTCGCGGTCCGCGAAGACGAACTGAAGCTCCAGAGTGCCAACAAAGCGCTGGAAATCGAGCAAATGGAGTTGGATGTCGCGCGCCAAGAGATCGAAGGGGAACAGCAGCAGTTGGAACAGCGGCGTCGCGCCAATGCAGAAAAAGAGGCCAAGATTCATGCTCGCCGGGATCAAGTGCTGAAGGGCATGAGTGCCGTGGATGCATTCAAGTTGGGCGGGGAGATGGAGCGAGAGGAGAAGCGCCGAAAGCTCGGTTAGAGTCGCTTGATGAAGGTATCGACGTCCTGTATTGTCAGTCACACCTTGAACAATTGGGCAACATAGCCTACCCTGGAGGCTACTTAGTGTCTTACTTGTATAACTTGTAAATGTACTGTATACTTCCGAGGTACCGATTTCAGCCGTAGGCCAGGATTGGACAGAACAGAGACTCCTCGTTATGCCGTTGACCTACCTTCCAATGATTCAACAGCAATGGACAATTATCAGGTAGTGAATGATCCAGAAGCAACTAATACACTCTCGTAATTAGCGCACCTCGCTGAGTATATGACTGCCTCGTTTAACCATTGCAGTAGGCACCGCATCTGCATCCGCACGCTCAGCTTTACCACACCCAAGCGTGCAAACCCATCAAAGACATTGCGACTCTCACCACTATGTTCGCTCCATCACCCCAACCTGACGACAGCCCTTCCTACGCCAAACTCAAGCGCGACCTTGGGGACGACGCGCCTCTCCTCAACTTTCTCCCCTACAAGCGCGCCACTTTCGAGCCGCAGAACGAGATCGCCGAAGCAGCGCCCGAGCGACTCCTCTATGGCGACATGATGGAGAGCAAAGGCTCGCTCTGGATCTACTGGACCCTCAACTACCACAACAAGAAGAAGAGCCACCACGACTACCGGATGATAACCTTCCAGACCATCGAAGGCGCCAAAGGCCATGAGGCGGGCGTGCGTCCGGGTTCAGTCCAGAACGTCGCATTGGCTTCAGCGCCTTTCAAGCATGCGAAAGACTACGATGCGGTCGCAGCTATCGCGAAGTACTTCTTTATCCGTAGAGGTATCGATATGCAACTGCAGCATCCGGTGTCGTCTGGCCCGTTCAAAGAGGCCCTTATGCGCGTGTGTCAGCATTACAAAGCCATATACAACGAGACGCAAGCCAACAAGGCAGCAAGCCGGCGTTCGTCGGTCATGCCTACTGGAGGTCGCGATCAGAGCGTTCTTTCGCAATTCCAAGACCCACGAGAACCTTCGTATGCAGCTTCATTAGCGCCATCAAGACCGGTGTCGCGCGCGCCATCCCGTCCCAAGAGCATGAGAAGTATGGACACTCGCAAGCGCCGGCACAGTTCGGGCTCAAATCTCGACCCTCGGCCTGAGACAGATAAGCGCAGCGCTCCTCGCGAGGGATCTAGCAACTTCTCATCCTATTCCCGACCACCTTCCCCGTTCCTCGCGTCGGTTCAGCCTTCCCTTCACGAGCGCCCTGAAGATGAAGAGATGCGAGACCTTTCCGTTAGTAACAACAACGAAGCAGATCAAGTACAACCAGCCGACGGCGCGCGCCCGAACGACATCGACCGCGAGACGATGATGGATCAATACATTGCGCTCAAAGCCCGGGAAGAAGATCTTGATAGTAGGATCAGCGACATGGAGACGGAGCGTGTACGTATTGCGGACCAAGTAGCGGGGCTACAAGCGGACATCAACACGATCTGCAACCGAAAGGGCGACTTAAAAGAAGAGAAAGATCGCGTGCGAGCGGAGAAGAAGCAGCTGCAGATTCAGCTAGATAAAGATGAGCATCTGGACTTTGGGTTTGAAGCTGGACGGAGGATGGAAACTAAGCGTCAACGGCGGGAGTAGTCTCCGGAAGGCACGAACCTATCCCCAACGCACTGCTTGGAGGTGCTGATAATTGCTTGTTTGATGGTTGGTTAGAGATATGGCGGGGTTAGATCCTGCGTTCTTTTCGCATGACCTGGGAGGAGCAAGGGATGACTAGCTGCAGATGGACGTGGCCCGAGGAGGATACCCAGGTAGCTCAAGTTACCAGTAGAGACGAATTGATCGTGTGTACAGAAGTAGAACTGGTAACAGATGGACTGTCTACAACACTCTCACTGCTTTGATTCAAATTAATTGGCAATATGTCGATGGAAAGGGGGAGAAACTGAAGGAGCTGTGAATTGAGTTTCAGGAGTCCTGAATCAGCTAGTGGCCCCCGCAAGTTCGATGACGCATGACGTAATCAGTAAATGCGCCAACGGTAAAACTCTTGGCTCCCCAACGTAAATTCGCGTCGCGTCCTGCCCTCGCGAGCGATTACCACCTCAACCCGCTTCGTAAACCTGGGTCTTATTGATATCTGTGGCCCACGTGGAATTGCGTTCACGCCAACCACGTCACGCATACCCGAACCCTGTGAACGACCCACAGCGCGCCGAGTAAAAAGCGGTCTGAACAACGATTGACACGATTTTTATCTTGTACTTTTCAATATATCTTATTGTAATCGAAGCTCTGATATCAAGACAACATTATACTCTAACCCTCCCACACGCTTCCCGTACTTATTCAGAGCCCGCATAGCCCTTCGCAACCCAACAAACAAACTATGGACTCTTCCGACGGCTTCTCATTCAATGATCTCAATTGGATGAGACAAAACGAGATACCAAATACTGTGAAGACAGCGCTGCTATATGGCGAGATCCGTGGAACAGGAGAGAAAGCCGATGTCTGGATTTACTTAGACAAAGCTACGACGTCCCTTATCTGGCAGATCTACTACCCCGAGGGTGACGCCAAGCCTCAAGTCATCACCGTTGAAGAGGCTCTAGAGGAAGCGAAACCCTGTGCCTGGTTCAAGCTTGCCACAACCCCGGAGAAGCTGGAGGCCTTGGCCACATACTATTTCGCGAGAAAAAAGTTGACGAAGAGATACCAACCGAAACTCACGTTTGAACAAAACCGACTACTCAGAGCCATGCTCGGTAATGAGGCTCCATCCAAGATCGTCAAATTACGAGTTCGTGTCCCCGAATATCTTGGTCGAGAACAATCACCAGAAGCCCTGGTTGAACTTCAACAACCTTTAGAGGTCGTTTCAAGTCAAAGAGCCCGCTCAAAGTCAACGATATCAGTCCATCAGCTACCCTCACCATGCAGCACTACCGACTACGACGCGAAGGTATGTTACGAAAGAATCCGCTGTAATAAACGTCACCTAACAGCATGCAGCGCGATGATGAATTACGAAGATTTAGTGGTGCTACATTGATCGAACCACTCGACCCAATGGACCCAATCGATCGAATCGACCGCTACTTTGATCTTCAAGACCGGGAGGAGACCGCCTGCACCAACCTAAAGCGCCATAATAACCGAATAGAGGACCTGAAGCGGAAGAGGTCAGAGATTGAGAAACAAATCAATATAGAGGCGGAAGCTGTAGAGTTGCTCATCGCTGAGAGACATCAAGCCAAGGTCGCGAAGGACCGACATTGGAGTGTGTTGTCGAGAGAAGAGGCCTACGAGCTGGGTGCCCGCGACACCGCAAGAAAGATTGCGAGACGCGATTGAGCTCAAAGCCGATTCATGGCCTGATGTCGACGTACTGCCATCTTCTGGAACGAAGCATTTGGATGGAAGTGGATGCGTCGCTCTACGAGTAGTCACGCAAGCCAGCCTACGACGACAAGTTGCCAGATAGGAACTCCAACCCTCTGCGATTGGTACCCAGGCGCGAAGAACATCGCAATACCGGCCACCAGTTCTCTCAGACTTTACTTCGGGACTTCGTCTATTCGCGCAAATCTCGTCGCGTGGGTATCATTTGGGTTGCGGACGTCGTGGCTGGCACGTCGCTACGTAACATCGCAGTACTAGTGGACGGCAGCCAAACTATCACATTGCGCACTCATGCGAGTCACGGGAAGCAACGCGTATAAAACTACTCGACCACACGCCTGTCCTCGTCATTACACACCACCACCCTCGCTGCCGAAACGAAAGCCTGCACCGACCGGCAGTGCGAAACTCGCTCCATGACGAGGACCAACTATCGAATAGGTCGGAGCATCGCGCTATCAACAAATTCTTCCTTAGACGTCATTGAGGCGTCACAATGCCCATATACTCCTGATGATTGACAAGCATCGAATAGCGAAAGGCGAAGTTGCGGAGTAAGCATGCAGATGAGCTGTCTGGCAACACTCAGCGACGCGAAGCCAAGATCTGCGCTTCAGACACCAAGCAGACCTACTAGTCCAGACCTTTGGAAGCCTGGTGTCAGGAGCTGGAGGAGGAGCTTGAAGATGGAACGCGAGCGTTGTGGCGCTGTAGATTGGACGCATGAATGATGTAGGACAGTTTTGAAACACACTACCGTGTGGAATACAATACGATAGCTACGTGATTACAGCAACTCCTAGAGTCTCCGTAGTCTGCAAACGTCATACGATCAGTCATCGTCCTGCTACTGCCGCTGCTATCACGGTATCAAGAACGTCACCGTCCAAGCTATCAACGCCGTACTAAGCACAGCGTAAACTAGTCTTCCTCCCTGCTGTCGGTCTCAGAATTTGCACCTTTCTTCGCCCACCTCGACGCTCTCTTCACGATCTCACCTCCAAGGATGAAGATTTCGCGCTCCTTCGGGGTGAGTGACGACCGAAGATGCTTCATTTCGACTCCAATGCGCCGGTTCTCTTCCTTCAGCTCCCGACCCTCCACCTGCATGTCGGCTAGCTGAGTCTCAAGAGCTTTGATCTCATCGCGCACATCCCCTAGCTTCTCCTGGTTGATCATAATGTTTTCCTTGCACCTGCTCTTCTTGTCGAGTGCGTTACGATAGGCGTCGGCGAAGTCGGGGAAGTCAATGGATGATTGCGAGTTGGGGCTCTTCTCGGTCTGGCAGCCTGTTAGTCTACAAGGGTATCTAGATGATCAGGTGAAACTTACAAGTGCCTCTGCAGACTCCCGGCGTGTTGATGAGGTACGCGAAGTGTCCATGGCGTCGCTGTTGTCTACCTCAACAGGGTCCGAGTGGATGAGGAAACCTTGGGCTTTGTTGACGATTGCGGTAGAAGAGGGCTGTGCTGTAGCCACCGGAGGAGTCGATAGCGGTGGTGGTGTGCTCGTAGTCACTCGCTTCCTGGGTAGGTCCGGGGTCATGGTGCGAGCCCTTTTGAGAGTCTCGCCTTCGGGGATAAACAAGCTCGGTTCTTTTGGTACTGCGGGAATCATAGAGACCGTAGGAGCGCGCTGAGGGGTAGGCTGCGGAGTGCGTCTAGCCTTGGCCAGTTTGACGGGGGGGCTGACCACTGCAGGCTGGCCGTTCACCTTCACCACCGAGCCCGCTCTTGATCCAGACTGAGAGACCGAACGCCTGGCACCGTCCACGTTCTGAGCGGACGAAACGCGCGTCCTCACCACCGAGCCATCTGCTTCTGGCCTAGGCTTGGAGACAGAGGGCTTGATACCGTACGCGTTTTGCGCAGTGGAGGCGCGTGACTTCTCCTTCTCACTGTTCGCAGCCAACTTTACAGCGTATTCTCCAGCCACCTTGCATGCCGCAGTCAGCGAATTGATGAAGTAATCACCGACTATCCATGGCACTGGTTTATTAACTCCCTTGAAGATGAAGTAGTACTTGATCACAGCGCGTAGCTGATCCGGGTCGATAACGCCCGCTTTCTTGAAGCATTTGAACGCAGCTGCCGCATGAGTGTGCCTGAAGAGGTCAGTACGTGTTCTACATTAGCTCATACAGCAGGAATGACTAACTTCACCGCTTCCTCCGCGCTCATAGCCCCCCGGAGCTTGTTGAGACGGTCGAAGATGTTGAAGCGTTGATCGGGGGAGCGGCCATCGGGGTGATCGTTCTGTAGCAGAATCCACACCTCGCAATCTTTATCCTTCCCGTCCTTGATGGTACCGAAGAACATACGAAACGGCATCTTATTCGGACGCTCACTCTTGTGGTCATCGAATGCAGCAAGCCGAACCTTGGCGACAGGGAGATGATGAAGAAGTGGGACACGGGCTTGGGTTGCGGCAAGGGCCGTATCGGCTGCACCTACTTGGTTCTGCAGAGTCATTTGGACCAGTGCTGAGATTGAAGCAGGTGCTTTCGGTGTAAGGTAGCTGAGTTGGTTGTCGCGTCTTGTTTTGTGTTGATCGCGGCGTTTGCATTGTATGAATGGGGTTAGCGTGGCTCTAGCGCGCTTTCGATGGAGAAGGCGTGGCCCAGCCATGAGGTACCCGGGAGGTATTCGCTGTATTTGATTTGAGCTTTTGTTTCTGTAGACGACATTGAGTACCTCCTGGGTACAGTTCATGCTGGTGCAACTCTGCGAACATACTCTATCAGTACCTGAGTACCTGGGAGCTTTCCATTACCACACACACCGTTGAGCATGTCGCAGTCAGCGCATCAGCGCTGTGAGGTCTTCTAGTTACATGTATGACGACCCATCTCCTACGGAATTTGTAGGCCTGATCTGTGCGTCGATTATACCACTAGCGTTCAGTCGGCTCTGATTTTGCATTTGCTCTCGCCTTCCCAGATCTCAAAGTTCAACAATAGTACTGCATCGCCTGCCAATGACAACTGCAAAGGAGACTCAAGCGACACTGCCCCTACGATGGCAACGCTGCATCAACAGACTGAACGCCACGCTAGTGCGCCGCGGCTTGTTCACAGTCATAGAGGAAGTGCTCTCTCCTGCCACACCCACATTCGACCAGGCAATTCTACAGGGACGCAAAGCTTTGAAAGCCTCACTCGGGGACCGAAAGCAGAGTGATGGTATAACAGTTCCCGTGTGGGCGTACATACTCCTCGATAGCAATGGAAGTGAGCCATCGATCGTGTTTCGCGACGAGGTGCAGGTTCATTCGAACGGCGCGGAAACGGCTCAACTATATCCGCGATCTGCTTCGTCGTTATTGCGAAAAGCGAATCATCTCAAATCACCGTTCTGTCTCCTACATCAAGAAACAGACGAAGGTGTCAAGGATGGGCGCGGTATGATTTGCGCAGTCATCGCCTACTACGCGCTGATAGCAGGGTTGAGCAACTGTGCCATCCGATGGCGTCGATTTGACGCCTGTATGATTGCCGCCCTGGATTATATCAACATTACCCTGGAATGGATGAGCAAAATACAGCATGAGCCGACGCCCAGCACAGCGACAGCCATAAAACCATCACTCATCGTGAGACTTCCGATAGGTCGTGAGGCTCTTGCAAAGATAACTGGAGTTTCCCATGACTTCGAAGTTCCAGACAGCGAAGACGAAGAGGATATCATGCTTCCCGATGAAGACATCCAAGAGCAGCCAGATATCCCAAGCGCCACGCACCAACCCGCAGTCCTCGTTCTAGAAGAGATACCAGACACCATCGACAGCGTCTTCGGAGACGACGCCGCCAGCGTTGCAGAAGAAGTCGACAGCGTCATCGGGGATGCCAACGACAGTATCATTGTGGCAAATAGCAGATCCCAAGTACACGGAAACGAGCAAGCAGGCTATTCCTCGTTAACCATCAGGAAGCGCAAGCTGGAGGATATTACGGCAGGAAGCGATGGCGACGTGGTTGAGGAGATGGATGGGCACGGTTGGCGGCAAGCTTCTTGGGGCCGATCACGAAGGAGGTAGGGTGATTGAATTTGAGAGGTTGATAGGGTGATACTGTTTGGAAGGAGGTCACATTGTACTATAGTGTGTTGAGGTATCGTCACTTCGAAGTTAGGATGGCAGCGGCGAAGGCCGGCTATTACGTTTCCCGCCCGAGGTTTCGCCGAAAGCTGGAGCTAATCCTATCACAAGCTAGCGCAATCTGAGGAATTCCCACAATTCTGCACGCATCCTCCATCGATAACTAAAGCTCACTTCTCTCACCAGACGTCTCTCTGCGCCCTTTCTTGCATCCGTCCAACGCCGCCACCGCCTCATTACTTGCCTTCAAATGCTCGAACTTTGGTGCATCTTCTCCCAATCCCCATGCGAACACACCACCAAGCCCCTTATCCTTCATGATGATCTGCATCTTTCGCTTAATAGCCTCAGGCGTATCCCAGGTCCAGAACAAGTTCTCATCAGCATCCCAGTAGTACTGTCCACCGCCAACATCATCATACACGCCCTTCTCCATCGCACGCTCATATGATGCGGACAGTTCTTCGGGAACGGAATCGTGCCATGAGAATGCGCCAGCTTTACCCAGGTCGGCGCCTGTAACGGGGTCTTCCATAAGTTCTGTCGCGCAGCCGATGGGGTTGATACTGCATGTCGCATTCGCAGCGGTCTTGTACCATTTGATGTAGAATGCCAGTCCCAAGTTCGCCTTCTCAGGCGGTACGCCGGCGTCGAGGTATGCATCGATGACTTCGAGCGAGTTCTGAATGCCAGTGTGGTGCTTCGTTACGTTATCGCGACGGTTGAACATGTCGTATGTCATAATGCTCAGGTAATCGACTGATTCCATGATGGCGGGGATCGTGGAAGGTGTGAAGGCTAGCATGTCGCGTGGTAGACCGGGAACGGCTGCTGAGATGGTCTTATCAGGCCCTACTGCTGAGCGGATTTCCGCTAGTAGCTTGGGGTAAGCAACTATCTCCCAAGCTTTATTGGAGTTGAGATGGCCAGGTGTTTTGTAGTCTTCGCCGTTGCCGCCTGGGTATTCCCAATCCATGTCGATGCCTGTTCTGATCAGCATCTACATCCGCGGCGGAGACCATAGGATGCAACGCACCGTCAGCACCGGTCGCGTCGAGCATGGCTTTGACGTTGCTAGCGAATAGCTTCCGGCTTTCCTCTGTTCTGGCCGCTGCCGAGAAGCCATCTGTGTCACCCCATCCGCCAATCGCAACTTGGATGATCGTGCCATCAGCAAACTTGGGCCGAACGTCTTCAATAGTGGTAAAGAGCGGCCATTCATCTTGCTCTGGGTTGTTGAAGGTATCAGATCGCATGAAGGCGAGGGCCACATCAGTAATGTTTGACACCAGATCCCGCTCCGGCACCACGTTGTGTTGCCTAATAACCATCAGCGATGTCGTTTCATGTCGTACTCGCAGGCTTTGGCTTTACCCTGTCAGATACATGATGTACTTCAGCCTCGTCGTGGTGGCCGCTGCAGCAGCGAACGCCCAGGTCGTGAAGAGCCATATCCAAAGTCGTGTAGCCATAGTACGTGATCTATCTGGAGGGCAAGACGTTTTCAAAAGAGCACTAAGACGTGTCCAGCCGTGGTATGGTAACAGTGGCTGATGGCAGCGGGTCCCGAAGATGCCCCGCAATTGACTAGGCCATCCACGGACTAGCGTCTTTGGTCGACCGTCGTCCACGGGTGCCTCCAGGGCCAGGTAGTGCCAGTCGCGTCTCGTCGAAGATCAACCCTGAAAGGCCTCGGCCATCGCAACGGGAATGCCTACGGCTGCCCTAAACGGAGCTGGATTGAATTTCATGGAGCGTCATGAGCTGACAACTGCTTGTTGTGGCTTGCCCCGCTGTCACTGGACTGGTTGGAGATGTTGCGCGATTGGTAGGAAGAAGCCAAGAACTTCAGCCTCCAGGTCAGGGTGTCATCCGAGCAATTCATCTTCAGCCTGATCGGTCGGCTCAAGAAAACCTGCTACCTCTCAGCCTACATTCTCGCCCCAACATTTCGTGCACCTTACCATGAGCGTGTGGTCATACCAACGACACAATGGGGGCAACCATGTCGAAGAACGCTACTTTCAGGTCCCAGTCGCCATACGAAGCTCTCCCATTATCGCACGGAGAGATACGCGTCCTGGAAGTCGCGCCTAGCCGCGGCCGCGGCATCGTCAAGTGTACGATGAAACGCATCTCGCTTCTCGACAATCCTGTGCCAGTCTATGAGACTATCTCATACTGCTGGGGGCCTCCTCGAGCTCGGTCTATCATGAGGCTCAACGGACATCGGATACGCGTGCCAGCAAGCTCAGAGGCCGCTATCAAACGCATGCGACTTAATGACCGACCGCGAGTACTCTGGATTGATGCCATATGTATCGATCAGTCATCGACGACAGAACGCAGCGCCCAAGTAGCCTTTATGGCGACCGTTTACAGTGCCGCGAAGCACAACCTCATTTACCTCGGGGAAGATGACGTCGATATGGCTGAGAGAGCCATGAAGGCTCTCCAAGACGTTATGAACGACATGCGTATCGCAACTGCAGACTTCAACCAAGTGTTGGAAATCATCCGCAATGAAACGTGCGCCTGGGTTAGCTCAAATGAACCGTTCAGCGCGAGTGTTGACTTTGAAGCTCTCGAAGCTCTTTTCAGTCACCACTGGTTCAGGTAAGACTGCACGCCAACTATCCTACGTCAAGCTAAAATCAGTGATTATAGACGTCTGTGGGTGCTCCAAGAAGTGGTCCTTGCATCATCCAATACCTGCCATTGGGGCACTTATGCTTTCGATCTTCTCGATACAGTACGAGCTGCAATATGGCTCATGTACAGATATCGATTCATTCCTGATGGTCTTCTCAATGGCGTTGGCCTACGCTGTGCGTCGATGATGTTCGAGATCCTCTACCCCGACCGTCGTTTTCCTTCGAGGCGCAAATATATAACCAACATGTTCGTGGCCATTCGACAATTCGAAAAGACGGAGCCAAAAGATAGCATCTTTGCGATTCTGGGCTTACTGGACAAAGACACCTCCCTAGAAAACAGTCAAGCGGCATTACTTGAGGTTGACTATGCAAAATCGCTTTCTAGCGTATTGCGAGATGCTACACGGTATTCTTTGTGTCAATGCGGCGATTTGGACGCTTTTCACCTGATCAATCACCACTTCGACGACTTAGACGATTGCCAATCGTTTCCGACCTGGGTCATTCGCGCAGATGTGCAACGAGGAGCTTGGGACGCTCCAGTTCTACCTAATCGTTTTAATGCTAGTGGTGGTCTTAAGGCGCCGTCTTTACTTGATGATGTTTCTCTTGGCGAAGAAGTGCTACTTCTCCAAGGAATAGTGGTTGATGAAGTATATCAAACGACCACCCCGTGCCGGAGAAGTACCTGGGAGAGTAACGAAGAGTTCCATCAGTGGCTGATCTCTGTCAAGGGAATAGTCTTGCGCTATTGCAACGTCGCGAGTCCGGAAGAGCTCTATCTAGCCACGGCTTTTACTCTTGTGAGTGGCGAGACCTGGGATGGAAGGCTCGCACAGTCGAGTAATGTGCAGGACCTTCTAGATTATCTCAAGAGCTTGGCGTTAAACGAAAATGATAGAGCCTCAGATGGCGTCAGGGTGAGAAGAAGCTTTGATCTGGAAGAGATAAAGTCGATGTACAACGCTTCTCGCATTGACTATTGTATTGACCGCCGTTTCTTCGTTACCGGGGCTGGGCGCGTGGGTATAGGACCTCGTTGCATGCAACCCGGAGATGTCGTTGTAGTCCTAAGAGGAGGAAGAAAGCCTTTCATCCTGCGAAAGAAAAGCGACGGTTATTGGCTACTTGGTGCGGCATACGTGCATGGCATTATGGACGGCGAAGCAGTGCAGTTACACAAGGCTCGGGGCGGATCAGAGGAGGTGTTTCATGTACGATGAAGAGGACATCTCTTTACAGGAACGGTCCGGCGCAAGTGTAGCCCCGGGCGAATTGTAAAGATTCGAAGAAGAACGCCTACCTGCACTGCCATCACAACAATCCGCAGATCCATCCTACAACGAGTAGAATATACACAAAACCCCCAACCAAGCCCCAGAACAACGACCGCAACCAAAACCAACACACATCACCAACACATCACGCACCCTCCATTGAATCATCACATCCAAAGCCACAAAACAAAGCGCAATCAAACACATCATAACACATGTTTTGTACATCTCACACACCATACGGTGCTTTCCAACTTTCTGCATTTCCTTATTCTCCACCACCCATACCATACATACGCCCATTGGGTATCATGACACCATACCCAGTGCAGTCCAATCCAACCCAATCCATTTCCACACCATGCTATGCAGTACTTTCGTGTTTGAAGCAGATAAAAACCCAAGAAACGCCCTCGCTATGCATACAAAATCTTTATATGATACAACCCCTTCCTCCAATATTTCTGACTTCGTTCCTCCTGTTCGTTTGTGTGACGCGCAGTTCAATAGTGAAGGCAAGGCCAGGATGCGGGGACGGAAGCATCAGACGACTAATCCGAGAGTTCAATGGCATCGTCTTCCGTTGCACCTGGTTTGCCGTTTGCACCGGGGTCTGCTGCACCGCCGCCTTCGTCACTGCCGTTCTCACTACCATCGTCTTCATCTTCGTCTTCGTCCTCGTCTTCTTCGTCGAAGGACTCTGCATCCTCATCTTCTTCAATCTCGTCTTCCTCATCGAGATCGGAGTCTTCGTCGTAATCGAGCAATTCTTCGTCGTCGCCGTCCTGCATCTCAGAGTCTGCGTCTTGGTCGCGGTCGTAGTACTCTTCCTGCTGCTCTTGCTGTTGCTGGAAGGGTTGGGCTTCGGAGGGAGTAAACTGGGCTTCGGGATAAGACGATGTAGTGCCAAAGTGGTCATAAGACTGGACGTCCTCTTCGTTGTCGGTCATGATGGCGTGCTCATCCTGAGCATCGACATCGATGACGTGTGCGCCGTTCATCAATGCAAAATCGCTAGTGAACTGGTCTTGCTTGTAGCTCGCCGGTTGAGAAGAAGTCTGCTGGACGAAAGAAAGCTGTGTGGGTATTGGTGACGAGATATCCAGTGGCTCTGTGCTGGCGGGTCGGGTGCTAGCGGGTGATTTGCTGAGACCCTGTTCGATTCGGTATGCGCGTACGGCTTCCGCGCCTTGGCCGTAGAGATGGCGTGGTACGAAGCGACTTGTACGTTCCCAGTATGCTGGACGGTTCTTGGTGGATGTGCTAGTGCGGAGGGTGCTGCCGTATGTCGATGTGCCGTATGTGGACTGTCGGCTCTGAGATGCCGAGAGTCCAAGGTTGGGCACGCTGCGACTCCAGTCGTGTTGGACATTTGATGAAGTGGCCGCGGGAGATGCAAGACCCCTAGCCCGTGCGATGAGCTGGCTTGCTTTTGCATCAAATGATCCTGATCGATACGACTTGCCTGGGGTGAAAGAAGGAGGCGGCATCTCAGCTCTTGAATCTGCCAGCGTCCGTCGCGCCCTTGCAATCAGATCGTTCGTGGAATCGTTAAATGAAGACCGTCCGCTAAACGACATTGCGCCGTTGAAGGAGTGAGACGGTGATGTAGTGGATGTTGACTGCCTAAAGGACTCCTTGATGGCATCAGCACGAGCGCGCTGTTCTTCGAGCATAGTTCTCGGTGCTGACTGCTCATGTTGCTCCGGTGCAGGCGACGCTGGTGACAACTTGGGTCGCTTGGGCTCGATGAGCTTGGGCTTCTCTTCGTCTGATGAACCAAAGTCGAAGCTGCGCTTCCGGTGCTTGCTCGGATCGATGCCCATAGCGCGCAACCTGAACCAGTCCGTCTCGGTCCGGTCTACTGGCGCATTCGCAACGGCTTGCTGATATGCCTGGGAGTATGCGGTGATTGATGTGCTGGCGTTGCTTGTGCTCTTGTCAAAGGTAGACTCAGGAGATGGGTTGTTGACCGGCACCGATTTGGCAACGTTCACACCATTCGTGTCCGAGCTCTGAGCCTGGTGTCGCTGTTGCGTTCGCTTGGCGCGCCGAGAATTCGAAGGTTGCTGAGACACCGATCGCCCCTCTGGTGGTACTACTGTCATCTTACCGTTCGATGTTGCCGGCTGTACCGGTGCAGGCGCGTCTGCCGGTTGTTCGTCTGGTCCGGCCTCCGCCTTTGCTCGCTGCTCTTTCAGTCGCCTCCTCCTCTCTCGTGCCTTTTGTAATTTCTTCTTCTTTTGCACCGCCAACATCATCTTGGCCAAGCCTGCCCGCTTCAACTCATCTAGATATCTCTGATGCTTCTGATCTACCATCGCCACTCTCCTCTCCATCTCTACAGTGATTGCAGCTTCCTTTGCTAAATTCATAGCAGCGTTTTCGACAAATTGCATCAGCAATCCCTCCTGGGGGTGAAACATAACATCCGCCGTGAGCGCATGCAATGCCGAGTCCTTCTCTCGTATCCGTGTTTGCCGTGCTTCCTCCTCTTGTACTTGACGGAATCTCGCCTGTCGAGCCAACTCTTCTTGCTGCTCGCGTGCCTTGCGCTCTCGATCAGCCTGTTCTTGCCGCTGTCGCGCAGCCGCAGCTTCCGCAGCCTCGGCCTCACGCTTCTGCTCTGCTTCCTTCGCTTGCTTTGCTCGTTGGGCTTCCTGTACACGTCGGCGTGCTTCGTCCAGTTTCCGTTGCTTCTCAGCTGCCTCCTTCTTCACCTGCTCTGCCTTCTGTGCTTCATCTTCGTGTGGAGAAGTATCCGTCGGAGGCGGTGTTCCTGATGGGGTGAAGGACTGTTGTGGGGTTTCTTGCGAGGGTGTAGCATTGAACGAAGATCCAGTAAAGTTGAAAGCAGAAGCTGCTTTGGGTGTAGTCGTAGCCGGAGGCTCTTCTCCCCAATGGAATCCTTTCTGGAATTCAGCTTCAGCTTTCACCTGAGAAGGTGTTTTCGAAACTATTGGGTTGAAGAGGTTCGCTGGAGCTTGGGTTGTTGTAGACTGAGGCTGCGCGGTGTTGTTCTTCAGGAAAGGATTCGCGGGAGTCGGTGTAGTGGTTGGCTCGGCCTTCGCAGCATTGTTGAACTTCAAGAAGGGATTTGCGGCAGTCTGTGGCGTCGTAGATTCCGGTTGCGCAGTGCTGTTCTTTAGGAAAGGGTTTGATGATGGTGCAGTCGGTGTCGACTGGAATGAGTTGGTGTCCTTGCGCAGGAATGGATTGGCCTTCGCGTCCGCCGGCTGTCCAAACTGAATGCTGTTCTTGGAAGGATCGAATAGGCCAGGCTGGACGGCTTTCGCGAATGGATTTGGAGTTGTCGTGGAATTGCCATTCGGCTGAAAGGGAGATGCGGTCGCGTTGAAGCCGAAGCCACCAGCAGATGGTGTTGCGTCGGAAGGTTGCTGTTTGAAGACACTGGTGGTCTCTGGAATGAACAACGACGTCTGGTCTTCCATTTGTTGAGCTTGCGTGGCAGACAGCCCGCCCTTCCTGGCTTCCTGTACAGTCATGCCTGCGATGACAGTCGACAAGGGACGACCACATCGCTTGGCCTCGACGATAGTTGCGGAGAAGAACTGAGGCTTGATATCGGCTTTGGCGAGGACATTCGCTTTCCTGTCGTAATGCTTCTGTTTGATATCCATGAAGCGCTGTCCTTGCTCGTTGAATTCGAAGACAAAACCGTGCGCCTCGCAAAACTCGACGGCCTCGTCTTCAGTGTCCATGCCGAGTACTTCTCTCAGCCTGTCGGTTGTCCAGAATTCGACGGAAACCTGATGCCTGTAGAGACCGACTCGGTAGCAACGCCAGACTACATCCAGTGCAACGTGACGGACCCTGTTGAAGGATATAGCGGCCGCACATGCCATGAGATATGATACCCGGGGCGACTTGATCAACTCCCAAAACCGCTTCCAATTCGACTGGCATTGTACCCAGTTGTCGTAATTCCTGTGAATGAGGATGGACTTGAGGAGGCGGAAGATCTCGAGAGCGGTTTGGACCCGTGGGTTGTTCCGTAAATCGCTAGGTAGACGATGGAGTTCGTTCTCGAGCTGGGTGTTGGCGTAGATGGGAGCCAGGATGAGGCGATATGCCCAGAACTCGGCTTCGCACTCTGATATGATGTTGGCGCGTCGATTGTCGGCGTATCGCTCCTTCAGTGAGATGAGGGTCTGATTCAGCTGCTCGACATCTTGTTGATGCGAGTAATCGTCCTTGGTACTCCGCGCCATGTGATGAGCCGACAACATGTAGAAGCGGGCGCTGTACTCGAGCGAGGTGAGTAGTACCGCGATGTCGGCCCTGTTCTCGATACGTTGTGTGCGGAGGTCCTTTCGAACGGCTCGTGTGCGATCCCAAAGCCATGAGTGGAGGAACTGGAAATCGTCTTCGTCTAGGCGGCCGTACAGGTACTTGAGGGTTTTCTGCGGATATTAAATCACGATCATGTAGAGAGTTCCGCTAACTTACCAAGCAGGTGGCTGGCGACCGAATCTCTGAGACCAGCTCTACGTCCATGCCTGCCGCTGACCGCGCGTATGCCTTGACCATGCGCGACTCATCTGCGATGCGCTGGCTACGGGAGGGTAGGTGTTGGGTCTCGGGTGTGCATTCGGGGGCCTTGACGTCGAGTTCGACTATGCGACGCACGCGCTCGTATTCCGGGCACATTTCCTGGCAAAGACCGTACAGCTTGACGGAGTCGATCAGGCGCATCTGGCCTTCAGGGTTCATGAGACCATCGCGGACGAACTTCTCGCGGATCTTGGGGCGCTCCGCTTTGATCTGTGCCTGTCAGTATTGACTAAAAGACACGATGTATGTAGTCCTTACGTGTTGCAGTCGCTTCTGGTATTCGTGGGGTGCAAAGGATGGCGCAGAATTCCCGCCGAACGGATTCGAAGTGGAAGCGTTCCTATAGGTATTTAGTTAGAATAGGCCGCGAGCGGCCATGGAGGCCCTCGTCTAGTATAGATCGCAACGACGGCGGTGGTGTAGTATGCATCCTGGTGATGGCGCCCTCGGTCCGCCCGCGCCCTGTGCCAACGTCAGAGGGAGTATGTCGACTTACGAATTGCCGGAGTCGTTCTTCTGGCGTCCCTGCCCGCCTTTGTATAGACCTTGCGCCGGTCGCTCTTCGTTCTGCGCATTGTTCCTGCCGCGTGCGCGATTCGCATTCGAGTTGTTGCCGCCTTTGGGACCGCGTCCTCGATCGCCTCCGCTGGCGCCTCTCCCACCTCGCGGTGTCGCCATAGTCGCGACTCTGTCACGAGGGTGTTAGTGCGCGATCAGCCAGGGTCAATGGCGAATGCGACAGTGAGGTTCCGGGTGCGGCGAGAGATCGGTAGTCGGGTCGGTTGCGCTGGTGGCCGAGTCGGGTTGAGTGCGACTGGCGGGCGCTGCGAGAAAGCATCAAAGGCCCATCCGTGTCGCGAACAAGAGAGCCACGGATGAGCTCAGAGCCCGGGCCTGTGACGCGGTCCTAGCGCCTTGGCACACGACGTGTGGCTGGTGCCCGAGTCGCCGCTTCCACTTTCACCCTTGCTTGCAACATCAACACCTCAATTCACTCATAACATCACGCTTAGCCTTCAGAAGCTAGTAGATTCGATATCTTGATTGATATCTAACATATCCGAAATGCGTAACTATCGACATGCGATACTTACATGTCTTTTCTCCCCGTATTTACCTCTACGTGGGTTTGACCGCCTCGCCTCCGCAATACTGACGGTCACCCATCTCCATCCACTTCTTGAAAGACCAGCTACCCCCCAGGTTTTATACAACGCCTTTCAGCAAGAACAGTCCCAAACATAGGCAATCCGTTCCCTATCCAATTACTTCCTCCACTAAACAGCCATGAACTTTTGTACCAGCGTCGTTGCAATGCAGTCGTGGGCGGCGTGACGTCGTATGGGGTATATTGCAAGACATGGACCATGTAGAATGCAAAATCAAGAAAATGCACCAAAGCATATTCCAGCGAGTGTGCCGAGGCATCCAGCATGGGAGGTGCCCAGTCGCTGTGCTGGAACGGAGCTTGACAAATGCGACATGATAGAAAATGAGTAATGAGCAATGAGTAATGAGATCGTCGCAATCGGGAGTCGTTCCGAAGAAAGAAAAACATAAAGATGAACCGAAATAGATTCGAGCACGTAAGCAAAACGAAAGAATGCACGCTAAATCGCAGGCGATTAATGATGAGAGCCTTCCGACTCACAGCTGATGCTGGACAAGTGCGGTAGGCCGTCGAAGAACGACGGGACAAACATGTCATACTCGTAAGGATATCCGGTATTGCTACTGAAAGCGGTACTCTCGTCTTGGTACGGTGTGTCGAACATGGTGAATGGCTGGTGGTATGCTGATGCAGACACTGGAACTACGTTGTTTGAGCCAGGAACCTGTCGTGACTGCGGTACATGGTGGTAGCCCGAATGACTAGTACAATACTGCATTGGCTGGCTGCATTGCAAGTCGCTCTGACCGCGGGACTGGTTATGAAACGGTGTGTGGTTGGCCACCTTGACGTCTAGGTCCATGTCCTCATCTAGATGAAGAGAGTGCATCGACTGACCAAAAGAGGTGTTGGGCGTCGTAGTAGAGCTGCATGGATGCATGTGTTGTGGTTGAGATATTGCCGGTCCTCGAACGGGGGCTTGCGCTTGCTGTTGGGATGTCAGAGGTCGCCGAGCTTTCTCCTCCCGTGGCAGGTGCGACTCAGTCGCGGTGTTGTCAACCTCGGTCTCGTTGCCAGATACATCGGCGTCGGGCTCTATCCTCGGAGGCGGAGTAGCCCTGGCCCGTCGGAAGCGCTTCCTAGGTACGGGTTGCTGGCGTGGCGGTCTCGTTAATGGCTGCCAAGTCACATGCGTCCCTCTGCGGGGGTCTTGGTTGTTTGTGCCTTCGAAGAGGTTGTAGTTGAAGATGTGATCTTCGTATAATTGCGCAATATCGAAGAGGTTCGGTAGAATCTCGGATAGGGCTCGGCCTTGCATCCGCTCACTGAATCTGGATCCTTTCGACGAGGAGAACTGGTCTGGCGGCGTGGTCTCAACGGCATACTGCGCGGCGTGTTTGAGCTTGGCGACCCATGGACTTCTACGCTTGGCCTCGTCGATTTTGCGGTGCTGAAGCATGAGATCGACTGCAAGTTTCAAAAGGCCTGAAGAGAATTAGCTGTCGCTCACTTGCACAGGCAGATGTGATAGCTTACCCGCCTTATCCAGATGCGAAGGCTCTTCGTAGGGCACATCGTGGGGCCACCAAGGTGGGGTGCATTCAGAGGGCTGCTCCTTGGGCAGCTTCTTGTGGTAGGGCCCGTACAGGCTGAGACGCTTAGGCTCTAGTTGCTTGACCCAAGCCGTGACGATGGGCCGCACTGGTTTCATGGTGAGCTCATCGAGTCTTCGGTGGAAGAAGCCCATCAACGGTTTGACATCGCCAATGTAGAAGGTGTAAGACTTCTGTGTTGCCACAGGGACATCTCTATCGTCGTACTGCTCGTCGTCTCCATCTTCACTGAAGTGCTGAGCTGCTCCTGGACGCGGTTCCCCTGCGCGCGACCGAGCTCTCTTCCGGCTCTTGGGCTGAACATCTCCCGACGTAGCTGGGCCTGTTAGCGGGGGCGCATACAGAGCAGGCATTCGATCTTACCCGGTACCTGGACCACGGCAGACTGGTAGACTGGTGTAGGAATGGCTTTGGGCGGATCTGCCAGACGGGCTACTCCCTGCGATTTTGCTGGGCCGTTGCACAGGTGTTCGAAGCCAGGGATGGGCCTAAAGACGTGTTCCTCTCGGCCCTCAGGCGAGATGACCTTCCAGCAGCCGATAGGTGTAGGGACGGCAACAGGCTCCTCTGGTTCGTCCTTCTTGATGGTGGCTTCGACAGCGTGCGAGGATGTTGCCTGAAGAAGTCAGCATATGTGCTCGTCGCTATTGCCGTCTATGATGCCACGCGCCTGCCGGGTCCGGTTATTTGGGCCAAGGCGGCCGCTAATCGTCGCGCCAGCGGCTCATGTGGAGGGAGGACCCGAAACCTTATCTACAGTGCCCCCGAACGCAAAAAGAAACCGTACTCACCGACGACTGCTCCTTCACATCACCAGCGTGAACCATCGCCCACGCGTTTTCCCCAAATCGGTCTACCGCCATGGCGCCGCCATCGTCCTTCCGTATTGGTCGCCGGTCCTTCGCGTGAGGAGCCAATGGGTCCACGGCCCGGAACATCGCCATCGGTAGCTATGGAGCTGCAGCTAGCGAATCCCGCGAACTGATCGATGGATCGCCTTTGTATCGTATGGGTGTATTTTTCCGTCTTATGGCGCCCGAGGAAAGCTCGAAAGTACGAACAGGCTACACATCGGTCAGTCAGCATCTTATACTCTACAGGAGCCATGACCCTGGAGCGACCGAATGAGGCAGTATTGCTTGACGAAATGACCAAGATCATCTACATAGACTAGTCGAGTACAGTTTTGAAGTGCGCACACTTCGCTTAACCTTTTGCGCTGGCAGTGCTTACCTGAAAGAGCAAGTTCTAGAGGAACCCCAGTCTTTGGATGAACGCAAGATGCCCCTCTTCCGCTGCAGATCCGAGATAAGCCAGAGCTCGATGCCGAGTTGGATGCCAACGAAAAGCCTCTGCTATATCCAAAAGCAATGGGAGGTACGACTCGTCACGAGCCTTAACTCACAGCAACGAGACTTGGATAAGGTGGCTAGCCGAAAAAGGCTGGGTGCGGAATCGGAGGAGGGTGGCACACAAGCCTGACCGGTCTTCCAATGATTGTGTGCCAATGGTGCAAACCCAAAAAGAGCCACGTTCCAAGGATAAAATGCAAATACAAGAACGTGATACTGACAGCAACAATAGGACCGAATGTATTGACCGGGCTCTCAGGTTATAAAGCAGGCCTTATTCTGCTATGACAACTGAGCCCTGCACTTTTCGACTCCTATCTACTGCACGTAACCTCACAGCATCCACTTGGCGACGACAACACCCCGGCATTTCAGCAAACGAGAGAAGACATCGCATGATCTGGCCACCCCGCGGATGTCGACTCGAGGGCTACCGCAGGTGTTAAGGGATTGAGGCCTCATCAGGCCTTTGCATCTGAATTGGGCTTGCGGAGACGTCTTGTGCATGACTCCCGCTTCCCCGTCCGCACCTGCCTTCACTCTCAGTCGACACGATGCCGAAAAGATGACGAGTGTTAGGCGCGAACAGGGGTCGATGTCTCCACAAGGATGTATACACACTAACGCTAAAGCATGCTGCATAACGGACACGGGGTCGTGCCGTGGGATTCCATCATGCAAATCAGCAAATCGTATCTGGAGGCCTCGAATCTCCGATGCGTGGTTCCATGGGAGATCTGTTGGGCATCGAACACCTGCACACTGCCATCGTCACTGTATCAGATACCGAAATCCACATCCGATTATATATTGGTTGTGGACGTGTCAGGACTCAACCCCACCTTCCACCTTTACACATCCCACGTGAGGAAGTACGCTAGCACACACTTCGACGATGGCGCTTTTCGGAACACCAAGGATGGCTAGACCTCGCCGTTCTGTGGGTTTCGTTGATCCTCGGGATCGTCCTTGCTCGCCAACCTCGCTTACCGCATTTCCGCCAGCCATCGCATGAGGCGGAGGGGCAGTGGAGGTCAGAGACAACCTTCCCGCATCCCCGAACCAAAGATACATTGCCGCTCAAGCAGCCAAAGGGTCTTCGACTACCGATTCCTACGTCCACTTGAGCGCCACGGCCAGACTGTTCTAGACGATGTACAAAGGAATCCTTCACAGATCCCGTTACGATGTCGCTCAGGCCCGCACCGCTCATCCGCTTACCAGGCTGTTGGCGTGAGATTGAGTTCAGTCTGACTCAGTATCTGATCGATCTGACTGCGAGAACGCCCAGAACAAGTTAGACAAAACGTCCATATCTCGCTACTGCGTGCGCACTGGAACAATGCTGAACAAAATTCCTGCACATCGCCGCAACATGCAACTCCCCTCCTGCTGTTCTACCCCCAATTTTCCACCACTGACCTACCTCACCGCCAACAGCCAGCCAGATCTAAACAAGCCAACCTCTAGCAGATCAAATCGTATCGACGTCCCCAAACCAGACCCAGACCCAGACCCAGACTTCCCTCTCTCCCGAGCGCCACACCGCCCTAGCACTAGCAAAGCGGAGATAACGTGTCACCCCGTTGCACAACCTCCTTCTAATACGGCAACGGGCCGCTGGGCTAAACTAAACGCACACTATCTGCATGCAAGTCTACACCCGTTACATGCACCACCCACGTCCAGCTTCCGTTTCCGCACCGTCCACCCAGTAACATGCACCAATCCCGCCTTCTCCTTAACAATGTTAGGCTCCGGCATATATGCGCCACCCGCAAGAAGCGGAAGGTGGTGAACCGCGTTTAGTTGTCCACGGCTGTCGTGTCACGTATGCTTACCTTACTTACCTTGCAACTTGGGTTTTCCCTCCTGTCCCTCGTGTAAGCAGGGGGTAAACTGTGGGCGGGTGGACATCGCTTCGAGCCCGTTCTTCGCGTCGAGTTACGAAGTTGGATGGATGGACGTGCAGAGGCTGTCAATGCGTGCGTGACGCAACGCCGGAATGTGGTTTCGTATCGAAGGCGCAGGGGTAGCGGGACTGGAGCCGGGCTGGATGGGTGAGCTTCTGGAACGTGGAGTTGTGGTGCTGCAGCGCATTCACCGCCAGGTCAAGGTACACAGCGATGATGAGGGTGTAAGGTTGGGGTTGGGTGGTGAAACGTTTGCTTCCGAAGGTTAATGCCAGACTGCTGATACTGGATGGCGACTGATGCAGAAACGTAGATATGATGCAAGATGAAAACCCGGTGTATGGGTTCAATAAATGATGATCACATGGTTCTGGTCGCCGTGGTCAGAGTGCGGTTACTGTAGCCGCGTCCAACGGCTTTTGCTTCCACCTACTCCTCGAGACCAGACTTGGTGGAATAGCGCTGCAATATATACATCGCGATACCTTCTGGTCCTCTCGCGTCACACGTTCACTTCGGTGTTCCTGGCTGTAGTGACGCATTGCCATACTTGTCTGATGATGTCTATAGAGAATTCATGTCCACTGACAATCACCATATGGATAACCGTGTCTTGGCACTGCAAGACTATCATCTTGGCTCAGAGGTAAGAAAATCAAAAGCAGATGCATGTTAGACCCAGTATTAAAATTCTATACACGTTTCCACTTGAACTTCATCAACCACCTGCGAGTAAATCGCGAAACTACTTTTCCCCTCTACCTCCATCACTGCTCAAAGTTTTCCGCTCACCACAACGCCTCGCCATGCTATGAAAACGGTAAAACTCCAACGTATCTATTCTGCGAAAATCTCTAGAGATACTGATGTGTCAACGTCCTCCACACACCTCTTATATCTTCGTCAGTCACCCTCCCCTTACGACTGACTCATATCCAACGCATTCAACAACCCCGCCTCCTTAACCAACTCATAAAACAGACCCTTCCGTCTGACCAACTCCGCCGGGCTATCAAACTCCTTGACCTCGCCCTTGTCCAGCACGATAATTCTATCCGAGTCCAAAATGGTGTTGATGCGATGCGCGATAGTGATGATTGTGCGGTTGTTGAACATGCTGGTGCGAAGCGTGGTTTGCAGCATGGCGTCTGTTTCGACGTCGACGGCGGCGGTTGCTTCGTCCAGGACGAGGATGTTCGAGGGAGTGAGGAGGGCGCGGGCGAGAGAGACGAGCTGGCGTTGACCGGAGGAGAGGTTGGAGCCGCCTTCGTTGATGGTGGCGTCGAGTTTGCCGGGCATGGAGGAGATGTGGTCTTTGAGACGGGCGTGGTCTGTGGCAATGGTTAGTTGCATATCGAGTGGGGTAGTTTGGAGCGGACTTACCTAGTACACTCCAGAGCTCGGTGTCGTCGTGGACATGGCCTGGATCGAGGTTGTCGCGCACCGTACCTTCGAAGAGCGCTGCATCTTGTGGAATGATGGCCAAGCGCCTACGGAGATCGAGTAGACCGATAGTGCTGGTGTTGAGATTGTCGATGCTTACATTACCCTCCGCAGGTTCGATGATGCGGAAAAGCGCAAGGGTAAGTGAACTCTTGCCAGCGCCTGTTCGTCCAACGACACCAATCTTCTCCTTTGGCTTGATAGAGAGATTGACGTTCTTCAGCACCAAGTCAAGACCAGGCCGGTATCGGGTGCTGTAGTTGTCGAAAGTGACAGCGCCCTGGGACGGCCAGCTGATTGGCGGCCTGTTCTTGGAGATGATCTCAGGCGCCTCGCTGGGTAGCGCGGCATACTCAAGCACACGTTCCACAGAAACGATGTTGGTCTCCACTTCAACAGTCTGGCGAACGATCCAGTTGAGACTTTGAGTGATCTGAAGCGCATACGACATGGCCAGACCCACTGTACCAGCCGATAAGCCGCTGTGGCTAGCGACGGACACGATGGCGAGACCCGCAGCAGCCAAGATGATGACTGAGCCAAGGAATTCTAGGCGAACAGCCAGCCATCGGTTGGCGCTAATGGAAGGATAGTATGCACGCAGATTGGCATCGACACGCCACTCATTCTCCATCTCGAAACGCTTCTGCTGGTTGTACGCGCGGATTGTGCTCATGCCGCTGAGACTCTCCTGGAAATGGGCATAGATTGGGCTGCGGCTAACGCTGTCGAGGCGCTTGAGCTCCCGTGATGTGCGCAGGTAATATCGCTGGATGTAAAGGTAGAGTGCGCCGAGCGGAAGGATAAGCGCAACGAAGGCCGGGGTCGACCAGGAAATGACGACAAGGGTGAAGCCGGCTGCATCAGTCAGTCAGTCAAGTGTTACACAAAACGGGTTGAGTGTGGGGTGGCTGCATACCTCGGGCGGAATTGACGAAGAGCATGTTGAACGTTCGACTAGAGGCACATGTTAGAAAGCCACCGGCAGACGACTCAAGAGATGGACTCACGCTAGAACTTCGTCGACTCGGTAGATGTCACTGTCAAATAAGTTAGCCAGTGTCGGTGAAGTAAACGTATGGGTCCAGGGTCATGCTCGGCGAGGCAGTGGGCGACGGTTAGACTGATTAAGATGACCTCCACCACCGCCCCTCC